TTTTTAGGTGACAAAACTGAGGTTCCACAGGTTACAAATAATGAGTTCACCCTTATACCTTTGGGCATTACTACAGCAGCACATATAATACTGAGGTTTTGAAAGGATAGTTAATACCCAAAATTTAAATTATGGATGGAATCCAAGATAGAGAATGTATCATATGAGAAAATGTTAGCCAAAATGAATGGTGATTACAGGGAAATAGATATGTGGGCGATTTTCATTTCCTCGCTTGAAATGTGAATGTATCTATCCTGTTATGCTCTGTACTATTATTTTTTAGTATTTTTTATACTTTTGTTACTGATTGTTGAATTATTTATTTATTTTCTAAATTGATAAACAAATTTATAAATTGTGAAGAACCTATATACATTTTATATAAAAAACTAATAAAAATCTAATTTCCAAAAAAAATTAAATAATAATAAACTATATTATTGGATATACATGATTTAAGATTAACTCAAAAAGTTGTAATAAAAAAAGAGACTTCTGGAATGTTATATTGTAATAATATATATTAATGTAATATAGTGTTGGTTCAAACCCCTCTCTGACAGTAGAAGCATCAACAGTGTAAATAAACATGATGTAAAACAAAAACAATTAGAAAGTGTTAAGATTTCTGGAAACATTTACATGTCTTTGTAAAAAAAATCAACCAGTACTGAATTCAAACCCCTCTCTGTTAGAAGGAGTACCATCTAAAAACATAAGACATTGTTAATGTTTAATGTTTCTGAAAACATTTGTCTTTATAAAAAGATTGGTTAACTTCAGACCTTTCTGTTATGATGAGTTTAATATAATGTAACCAAATTCAGAAACATCTAAGATTTTTTTTGTAATTATTTACAGTGAATATAAAAATACATTTTATGAAAATGGTTAAAAAGTCTATTCAGTTGTAGAGGAGAAAAATTGCATTGAGAAAGCATAAACTATTCAAAAAGACAAAAAACAAAATAGTGTAGATAAACAAAAAGTAAATGACAAAGAGACAGTAATAGAGTCAATTCAGTGGTTGTGGATGATTGGGAGGCCATGAGGAATAGGGGCCAATGAAGGGAATTTGGCCAGGACAATGTGTGCCATGGGATTTTTAATGACCACAGAGAGTTTGGACCTCGGTTTAACATCTCATCCAAAAGATGGGACAAAAAAAGACAACTACATTGAAACTGAATCAGCACTTTAGGAGAAGCACTTTAGCAACGATACCACAGCTTGTAAGTACATTTACAGTAGTTTTCAGTTGTTTGTGTGTGCTTCTTGGATATTTAGACTTGTTAGGGGGTCAAGCGCGAAGCGCTGAAACCCTATTGTATTTGTAAGGATTTTTATTATTATTATTCTGCCGAAGTCACTATTGCCCAGACCAAACCGTAAGTCCGAGAGAGCTGAAACTTGGTCAGATGGTAGTACTCCGGTACACTACATTCTCACCGAAGATCAGCCAAATCGGCCCATAGGTGGCGCTATTGCGCCAAAACCCAATATTTTGGCCGCCATTTGTACATCGTTTGTCGTAGACTCAAAAAAATTACATATTTGGAATCCTTGGGTCAGCCCGAACAAAAGTGGAGTGACCCAGATTTTCTCTACGGTGGACCGTTTTCCCGCTACATCGCGATTTGTCCAAAACCTACTTTTGCGAACTAGTCCTAGGTTTTTTGCCCAATCTGAACCAAACCAGCTCTGAAATGTTCTCTGGACACTGAATATCAATAATTATCAAAAAAAAGTTGACATTTTTTTTCTCGCACGAAACAGTACACAACAATGTTCGATGCTAATTGAAGCTAATTGCTAATTGTAGCTATAACTTTTGAAAGGAATGAGATATCATCACCAAACTTGGTACACATACGTGTACGCTTAATTTGATGTGACAGTGCAAAACCCGTGGACTTTGGCCACATGGTGGCGCTATAAAGTTAAAAAAACATAAAAATTACTCTAACCTTACAACCATTACTCCAATCAGCTTGAAATTTGGCATGCAGTGTCTTTGACCAAGTTGTCAAAACATACTATAAGGACATTGGCATATCTCAAAAAACATGGCCGCCATTAGCCAATAAAAATTGAGCAGCCATTTAACAAGGTTAACGATGAGTGATCGAAACGAAACTCGCTGGGCATGTTCGACTCACGGTCCTTGAGGTCTGTAAGAATTTTGAAAGAAATCGGCCACTAGGGGGCGATTTTACGTATTTTTAGTGTGTAATGGGTTGTGTATCACACAACCTTTTGCGCAACCACACAAAATACATATCATATGATAGGCCTGCTCATACCGAACAGTTTGACACTCAAACCACTGCTCTCACTCACACCGTTCGTTAAATATTCATTAATATAGGAAAAACCTACTTTTGCGAACTAGTCCCTGGTTTTTAGTTCAGTCGCGACGAAACCAGTGTTGTTAGAATCTCTGGACTGTGTAGATCAATAATTATCAAAAAAAAGTTTAACTTTTTACTTTGGCTAGCTGTAACAGGCTAATTTACAAAAGAGGCGTGTCCACACGAACCTACATGCCTGTAAACCAATGAGGAAAACTCAAAACATCACAGAAATTGGTGAGCACATGTGGCATATCAATGTGAAGAAACTTGCAAAATTTTGTGAAGATCAAACCATAGGTGGCGCTATAATAGCAAAAATAGTCTTTAAATAATGCTAAATCGCTTAAAAATAAAGTAAATTTGCTTCATTTACACACTATTACACTAAAAACACTCAATCTACATATCATATGATAGGTCTGCTCATACTGAACAGTTTGAGACTAAGACCACTGCTGTTACTCAAACTGTTCATTAAAAAACCATCAATATAAACAAAACCTACTTTTGCGAACTAGTCCCTGGTTTTTAACTCAATCGCAACGAAACCAGTGTTGTATAAACCTCTGGACTGAGTAGATTAATAATTATCAAAAAAAAGTTGAACTTTCCATTTTAGATAGCTGTAACAGGCTCATTTACAAAAGGGGCGTGTCTACACGAACCTACATGCCTGTAAACCAATAAGGAAAACCCAAAACATCACAGAAATTGGTGAGCAGATGTGGCATACCAATGTGAATAAACATGCAAAATCTTGTGGAGATTGGGCAATAGGTGGCGCTATAATAGTGGAAATGGTTCTAAAAACATGCTAAAATGGCTTAAAAATTAAGTAAATGTGCTTCATTTACACACTTATCACTGAAATGATTTATAAGTTATTTTATCTGTCCATCTTGGATGTTTAAAGGTCTCAAACACATTTTCAATATTATATCATTTTAGCCACTATAGCACAGACTTTTAACTGTCACCTACCATTTCTAACCACTAGATGTCACAACAAGACCACTTATTTATTGTTCAAAACATTTGCATACCTTTGTTGTTTTACATTTTTTTAAGTTTAAAGTCAGGGGAATTGCATTTAGGATCATTCTGAATCATATTTTGACCTGATGTAAACACTGTTATGCATTAAACATCTAATTTGGTCCCAGTTAACCTCTTCATAATAATTCTAATAGGTAAAACTGGTTCTATGATTAAACACATTGTTTTAAAACATGTGTAAAGAAAAGCACAACTGTGGCTTCTAGATGGCAGTAACAGACCACTTATTGTTTATTTTACTGCTCTATAGCAAAGAATGTGATGTAATGTTATGTAATGCATTCTGAATCCCAAACTGACATGGCATGAACACAGTTAATGCATTTAAGATCAAATTTAGTCAAAGCTTTTCACACTTTTTACTCTGTAGACTTTTAATTATTTTAATAAAATACAAATTTTTCATTTATTACAGTTAGAACATGCTCAATTATAGAAGGGATATGTTTATGCACACCTAAATGGCTGTAATCACATAAATAAATTACACTGTGGCCACTAGATGGCAGTAGGAGATCACTAATAGCGTATTCACTGCTCTTTTGTCATTTTTATTAAGAAGAGCTAAAATAGCCATAACTCATGAAGGAATTAAAATATCTTCACCAAACTTGTTACACATATGCAAGAGGTCAGTCTAAGGTCATAGCATAAAACTCGTAGACAATGGCCACATGATGGCGCTATACATTGTAAAATCACTGTATCTGAGTAACCATTTATCTGATTAACTTAAAATTTGACATGTCTTGTCTTTAACATAAAAGCGGTCACTCGAAATGTTCATAAAAAATTTGTCAATATGTAAAAACTGAAATTGCTTTTCTGGAATGTTTAATCAAACATTTGTTAGCTCAATCTATAAACTTTAACACTCTAATCGTATATTTCGTTGTCGATTAAACTACTTACAGGCGTCTTAACTGCTATATGACCTTACCCTGCTAAACTGCTTGACCCCCGTTAATTGCTGCTTGCAGCTATATTTTTCAGTTGTTTGTGTATGGTTCTAGGACATTTAGATTTGTTTTCAATAGTTTGTGTGTGGTGCTAGAAAGTTTACTCACTGTTTCCTTGGTTAATGTAAGATCTTGTGTGTGTTTATCGCGAATGGTTTCGCGCCCCCCACCTCAGTTTCTGTTGTTTTTACTCTTGAGGCGTGTCCAGCTGAATTCAATCAGCAATGCTCTCAGGGGTGTATGTAAGCAGCTAGTCTCACTGCGGCAGCGGTCGCGGCAGCCTCATGTGAAGAACGATGAGTGTGAAGACCATCGACTCTACCTGCGCAACTCTACCGAGTAGGCATGTGCCGGTATCACATTTTCATGCTGCGATTAATTGATTGAGCTTTTATCACGGTATACGGTATTATCACGATATTGTAATTTTACTAGAGAAACAGGTAAAAAAACACAAAAAACTTCAGTTTCGTCAACTTAGTAACTTTAAGAACTTTTTAATTAACTAAAAGTACTTCAAACATTTAAATACAAATAAATATAAATAAAAACAATACACAATTTAAAAGTAAACTTGAGCAATTATATTAAAGTGAATGTGCAAACTGCAAAAGAACAACATTTGTTATACGTTTTTAAATAGATTTAAGAGCAAAAAACTATTTTTAATGAATCAACAATAAACATTTTCAACCAATTCCTGGTATCTCTTCTGGGCTGCCTGGCATATTTTAGTCCTTGAGATTAAAGTGCAAAAATGTGAGCATGTTCACTTTTTCTGGCTTGAGCTTTGAACGCTGAGGTGAGAGGATATGTCCACTGGCACTAAATACCCTCTCTGAGGGAACACTTGTTGCAGGAATGCAGAGAAACTTCTCAGCCAAGGTAGCAAGATGAGGAAGTTCTTCAGCATGCAAACTCCACCACTGCAATGGATCTGCCTCTGATTTTATTAGTGGCAGAGAAAGATACAGTTTGATCTCAGCTTCAGTCTTTGACTTCATGCTGCCTTCACCCTCCTGCTCCTCTGCTCTCTGCTGCCTTGTGGAGGTGATTTTGTTGAGCAGGGTGGCCAAGCTTTGCTGCTGTTTTTCAGAGGTGGGTGTGTGTGTGTGAGTAAAGGGCATGGGGGTTGAGCTGCTTTGCTCTGTTTGGGCAGCTCCCTCACTCAGTGTTGTCATTTCTGCCAGTTTTGAGGCTTCCTCAATACAGCAGTTAACCGTGGCATCAAGGTCATCAGAAAAGCTTCCTTTAAACCGGGGATCAATGAAGCTTGTCAAGTCCATCACCTTCTTTGCATCAACACTGTACCTGGATTCAAGATCTGACTTCATTACCCTCTTCAGGTCTATGGTGAGGGCACTGTCTTCATTTTTGACCTCAAGAATGTCTGAGATGATGTGACTTAGCACCGGCCTCAGGGCTGACAGACTTACCCTGCTCTCTGAAGCCAAAGCATCAGTAAAAGCACTGAGTGGTTGAAGGATTTGCAAGACTTGTTCAATGACTGCAATATCTGCATCCTTTGGGATCAAATGCCATGCACCTCTCTCCGTTGCCAGTACAGCACAGACTGCCTGCTGTTGTTCAATAAACCTCTGCAGCATTTTCTGTGTCGATCCCCATCTAGTGACTACATCATGGATAAGTGACCTCTGAGGGACATTTAAGGCCTCTTGTTTATTTCTGAGCTCTCTTCTTCTCTTCCAGCTTCTTGAAAATCCCTGCACCAAATGTCGACAGCTTCGGACAGCTGTGTCCACCCTCTGGATTTTCAGAGCTTTAGAAATGGCCAGATTCAAGTTGTGGCCAAAACACCCAAACCACTGGCCAGGAAAGGTGGTCTCGAATGCCTTTTTCATGTTTGTAGCATTATCAGTTGTAATACTAACAAAAAACTCTTTGTTGATGCCCCACTCCTGCAACATGTTATCAAAAAATTCACTGATATTGTCAGCAGTGTGGTCTTCTGGAAAAAACTGTGTTTCCAGGCAGTTTGATTGAAGTTTCCAATCTGTGAGGTAGTGGATGGTGAAGCTGATGTATGGATGACCACTTCCTCCACTGCTGGTCCATAGGTCAGTAGTTGCTGCATACCATTTTCCTTGGGCTATACGCTTGCCAACATCCTCTTTTAGACTGTTATACATTTTGGGTAATTCTGTCTTAGAGAAAAACTTCTGTGAGGGAACTTTGTAAAGTGGAACTGTTGTCTTCATCAGTTTCAGAAATCCTGGTTTTGCTACTGTGTAAATGGGGATCATGTCTTTAGCAATACAATATGCTATGGCATGATTGATTTCCTTGGCCCGATGAGATGAAGGTCCATATGAAGCCTGACGCTGGAATGCCTCTTGAACTGTTGGTTGAACGATGGCTTCAGCTGAAGATGAACCAGCACTGCTAGATGCATGGCCACTCTGTAAAATAGGAATGAAAAATATTACTTCATACCTCTGATAATTTAAATAAAAGATGCTGTTCAGACAGAGAATACAAGCAAAGTAAATTTTCGTTTTTTTTTGTTTTTGTTTTTAGACTAAAAATAACCCAAGTTGCAACTTTCAACTAAATGCATCTGTCATTTCATACTATATTTTAGTAATAGAAAACACAAGATGATGAGCTTAAGTTTTGCACTTTACTAGTACTCTCTTGTAAACATGTAAACATCAAGTTTACTCTAATGTATGATTGTGTTGCATTCCTTTTTAACTTAAAATCACATTATTCTGCCTAACTTCAATTATTAATTACAGAACTTACTTTTAGCTGAGTATTGTATTTTGTTGTTAAAATACGAGATGCAAACTTAAGTGTAGCAAGTGGAGTTTATGCTAATTCTTAAACTAACTTACATGGAAGCAAGCAACACGCAGCAAATGGAAATAAGTTAACGTAATTTTGCAATCCTGTCTTTCAAATAGTTGTTTTATGTGGTATTCAGCATGAGAAATTAAGTGTCTTACCTTTATCTCCCTGAATTGCAGTGGATGGTTGTCGCGAATATGAGCAAACATGTTAGACGTGTTCCCGTGTTTAGCAGCCACTTTCCGTCCACATGTTTTACACAAAGGGAAACCGTCTTCGATCAGCAATCCCTCTGCATTTTTTTGGAACCCAAATATTTCCAAACCTCTGACTTTACCCTTTTTGAAGGGGGATAAATTGTCGGCAGCGTTCCTCCTTCCGCCATGCTTCTTCGTGTGAGGATAAGAGAGCGGTGGCAGCGGCGGCGCGCACTGTGTGCACACAGTGCTTCTACATGCGGGGATTGTTTACATCCGAGTGCGCATCAGTTCTGCGCAGCATATACGCAGTGTTTCTTCAAGCGGTTGATGGAAAATAAGCTGAAGGGGAATAAATTGTCGGCAGCGTTCCTCCTTCCGCCATGCTTCTTCTTCGTGTGAGGATTATAGTGCGGTGGCAGCGGCGGCGCGCACTGCGTGCACACAGTGCTTCTACATGTGGGGATTGTTTACATCAGAGTGCGCATCAGTTCTGCGCAGCATATACGCAGTGTTTCTTCAAGTGGTTGATGGAAAATAAGCTAAGGCGCGTTCTAAGAATAAAAATCCGGATATATTATTTTTCACGGTATTTTGAAGTGCCCGCGATAACAATATCGTGCATATTCATTACCGTGATTTATCGCATTACCGAATACCGGCACAAGCCTACTACCGAGCAAAGACACCAACAAAGCACTTGAGTACTTTACTTATTTATTTTAATTTATCTTTGCATTTATTATTGTTTTCATTGGGATTTTATGATGTGTTTACTAATTATTGTTGTTACTAACACTTGCAAAGCACGGGAGGTACGCTGCAGGTGTAATCCTAACAACCTTCGTTCGATACATGTATCTGCTATTTCACAACTCTCTCTCTCTGTGGGCCTCTGGAATTGTCAATCTGCTGTTAACAAGGCAGATTTTATTACCTCCATAGCTACACATTCTGACTATAATCTCATGGCTCTAACTGAGACCTGGTTAAGACCGGAGGACACTGCTACACATGCAGCTCTTTCTGCTAATTTCTCTTTTTCCCAAACTCCTCGTCAGACAGGGAGAGGGGGTGGGACTGGACTACTGATTTCCAAGGAAAGTAAATTTACTCAGAGACCGTCCCTGGCAAAGATCAGCTCCTTTGAATTCCATGCAGTCACCATTATCCACCCCTTCTACATAATTGTGGTTGTCATCTACCGCCAACCAGGTACATTAGGTCACTTCTTAGATGAACTGGATGTTCTTCTCTCATCTTTTTATGATTATGACACCACTAGTACTAGGTGACTTCAACATCCAGATTTAAAGACCTCAAGCTACTGACTTCCAGACTCTGCTTGTCTCTTTTGACCTCAAAAGAGCACCTACTTCTGCTACTCACAAATCAGGTACTCAGCTAGACCTTATTTACACTCGATATTGTTTCGTTGATTAAACACTAGTAACTCCACTACACACATCGGATCATTTCCTTCTGTCTCTCAACATCCACATTACTCCTGAGCCACCACACACCACAGGAACCTACGCTCTCTCGCACCCAATCATTGTTTCAGACTCTCTTCCTCCATCTTGCAAACTCTCTGCACTTGATACGAACAGCGCCACTGGTACACTCTGCTCCACACTAGCATCATGTAGCAACTCAGTAAAAGTTTTACTTTAAGTAGAATTTTGGGTGTTTGCAGGGTGTTGTTCTGTGTCCTTAGATTGAGATAGTCTCAGCTCAGGAAATAGGGCTGAGGTCTGCATCTGTTTAGAGACCAACTCTGTTGTGCAAAGGCAAAAGACCATTACTTAATTTTTTTTTTTTTTTTTTTTTAGACGAAACTGAGTTATTGATATTTTTGGGACGATTAAGACCTCCTTTATTATGTGGATAAGCTTGACTCAATATCATTGTTTCTTCAAGAAAATAATGTGTTGTCTTAACAGTACCCGGACACCACTCATACATTGAAGCTCGAAAGGTCGGCCCCTTTAATTCTAATTATATGGTCAGCCAAACATACGCATGATAATTCAGTCATGTCTCAGCTCATAAAATATAGGTTCTGCATCGGTTCATGACCCGAGGCTGATGAAGCACTTAATAAGTACTTTATCTCTATTGCCAATGAAAGAATCCGGCAACGTATTTGGTTTACAAGTAAGTTTACATTTGCATACTTTAAAAAACGCGACATACATCATGTCTATTGCGTTGGTTGGTCCAGCTTTAAACAGGCACAAAAAAGTGTGACTCTGTAGGGCTATAAAAATACTGTAAGCACATTTAACATTTTAAAACTACTTATCTTACCTAATGTAGAACTGTATGTCATCAGATGCAGCAAATTGGCCCAAGCTAAATTTGTGATGTGCAGAAAGTTCTACCAGTTTTATCAGTTTTTAGACTTTCTGTCATAGATCTTTAGTTCAGTCTGATCTAAAGAAAGATCGACTGCCACAGGAAAGAGAGGTCAGAGGTGGGTAGTAACGAGTTACATTTACTTCGTTACATTGACTTGAGTAAAATTAATGTGTAAAGTGTACTTTTTTAGTACATTTAAATATGTGTATTTTTACTCTTACTCAAGTAAATAATTAGAGAAAAATCAGTACTGTTACTTTGCTACATTTAGCCAATAGTATGATCCTGCACAACTGGTGTAGCTGCACTTTCAGGCCTGCATTTATAGGACCGCATTTTTAGGACCCTAGTTTTTTGGCGGTAGCTCCACCTACCCGATTGTGTCAAAGCAGCTTAACTATTATTAAATTCACTTTAGTTCAGTGTGGTTTAGTTTTCACTGCTGAATGTCCAAACACTGAAGAGCAAATCCATCGATGCGCAGCTCCACAAGTCCCAAACCAAGCAAGCCAGTGGCGACAGTGGAGGAACACAACTTTACCAATTGAAGAAAGTGAAGGAATAAATCTTGAGAGAAACAAGGCTCAGTTGGGCACAACCATTTCTCCTCTGGCCACACTACACATGCAGAGCTGCAGTCTAGGAGCTGGAGGTTGAAGAACACTGGGCGTCCATCGTGGAGAAGCTGCAGGTGTGAGTAGGTCATCAGCGGGTTTTCAGGCTGGACCACAGGATCAATGCGGGCACTTATCTGTCACTGGGGTCTTTTATTAATCAGTCTCATGCTCTCCACTCCTCCATGACCACCACAGCATCTGCTCATGAAACGGTCTGGTAGGATTCTGGATACATCTAGAAGTCCTCTATGGTGGCATCATCTCTTCACAGGTCATGATCTCTAGAGGCCTCGGGAAGAATATCCCCAGGTGGAAATAGGGAACAAAAAAAATTATTAGCGCAGCTGCTGTTCATAGTGTATTCAAACAAGAGATATAAAATATCAAGGCAAAACTTAAGTGCTATGATATAAAATAGCAGTTATATGAAAAAAAATGAAACGCACATGGTTATTTCTAACAAAATGTCTAGTGCATTAAGACAGCAAGAGAGTGCCCTCCATGTGGTTTGTGAAGCCCACTCACCCGTATAGAGCACATAGGGCAGCACAGTGGTTAGCACCGTCGCCTCACAGCAAGAAGGTCCCTGGTTCAAGCCCCGGTTGCAAGTTCTCCCCGTGTTCGAATGTATGAGTGTAAATGGGTGTTTCCCGGTACTTGGTTGCGGCTGGAAGGGCATCCGCTGTGTAAAACATATGCTGGATAAGTTGGCGGTTCATTCCGCTGTGGCAACCCCTGACAAATAAAGGGACTAAGCCAAAAAAGAAAAAGAATGAATATATATATTCTAGAATATGTAAAATCATGTATATGTATTCAAAAGGTTAACCAATTGTTATGCAATTAAATTTAAATGAAGTTTCATAAACTAATTTCGAGAGGAGCACGTGATATGATTGACTGCAGCCGGCCACTCATCTAAGCTCATTAGCTAGCCAATCGGAACGATCCAAACCCACTATAAATAACCTAGCTAAAATGTACACCCCTATCTTCGTTTTCCGAAGAAGCACAGAAGGACGGACACAGCTCCTCTTCAAATCCTCAAATCTTCATCTACCATACCATCGCCTGCGACATTAACTTCAACCTACTACAAATCAACAACGACAGCAACAACAAAACTCAAAAAATTCAACGGACACGCCATCATCAACTAAACAACAACATCATGGAAAGAGACGATACACCCGCTCCCCTAGGAACACCAGCACAAGGACAACAAGCCCCAACCGGAAACCAAACAAACACCGAAGCTCCCATAAGAGGCAGAAGACCCATCCGCTCTACAGTTTCAAGGACCCATCGCCGTACACAGTCTCCATCCCCCATAACCCCAAACCGCAACTTACCTTCTCCATCTTCATCATACGCATCTGCAAGATCCTCATCCCTCATCTCAAATAAAATGACAGTCGCCGAACTCCGTCAGACCATTACAAACGCCGGTATATCCATCCCTAACCGCTGCAACAAAGCTGAACTGTTGAAACTCTACGAAACCATCCCTTCACCAACTCCTCCCCCTCAGGACAGCAGACCAACTCGATCCCGGCACACCCCCTATCCTCAACCGACTTCTGCACAGCAAGCAACTAACCACCCCGGAGCACCCAAGAAAGCAACCAGGAAAACAAATAAAAAGCTACCTCACGCTACTGGACAGTCTGCACCCGTTACCATTACCTTTCAAAACACAGACAATCCACAGGAAAATCACGCCACTCCAGGACTTCCCACTCCCCTTCTCTGGCCTCCAGCTCCACCTTCCAGCGGAAACTCCATTCCTGCTCTTCCAGACATCTCTCCCTCTCTCAACCCTCCTCATTCTATTCTCCCTTCTAACCTTCCCCATTCTTCAACTCAGTTTTTTCCCACTCAAACTTTTCCTACGATCCATAACGCCGTTCCTCTTCCTACTAATTTCCCCTCTTCTACTACCTCCTTTTTCCCCTCTACATCCCTCCACCAAGCACCCACTGTCATTACTAACCCTCCCCAACAGTCTACTCTTCGTACTAACATCTCTTCCGCACGGCCCCCCTTCACTCTAAGCACCGCCACACCCCTTCCCATTCCGCAAAATGCTCCAGTCCTGGAACCACCCCCGATCTCCAATGCCATCAGAAACCTCATCTTATCAGGTGCCGACATAGACCTTTCAACACTCCTTTCACCCATAGCACCTCCCTCGGCAGAGCGACAGGTGGATTGCGGCGAATTCACTATTACCCTTAAACCACCAGTCAGTTCACAAACTCGCACACTCTCCATTGCCGAATTTCACGTAGCCTTCGCACGATACACAGAAACCATCTGCTCAGTTTTTCCCCATAGGAGGCTCAGTTTTTCCCCATTTTCCTCCTATGGGGGAACACATTTCTACACATATCATAAATTATTCTCAGCTAAATGCACAATTCGCGTCACTCAGTGGAATCAGTGTACTTATTGGGGGGCTTTGGACACTGATCTCCACAACAGAGTATTCTTAGGATGTCGCAATCTATCCTGCGCGGTCTGCCGCTCTAACCTTCACCCGACCACTTCCTGTCCCTTCGTAATTCCCTCCGCCGATAAAGAACTACAAACCCCAAAATCCACCAGCTACGTACCTCGCCCTTCTACTTCCACTATCCCCTCTCTACTTCCTCCTCCCTCCTCTCAAAACCCTCCTTCTCAAATCTGTCAAAGCTTTAATATCGCTAGATGCTTTCGCCACCCGTGCAAATTCCTGCACACTTGTAGCTACTGCGGCGGCGCACACGCTCGTGTCGTCTGCCAAGTACTAAAAGCAAATAAAAAACATAGAAATTACTTGTCGACTCCTGTTGATATTTCTAATCTGTATTCTGAATTATGCTTGCACCCAGATCCTAATTTT